CATCGGCGATGGGGAGAGCGGAAGAGGACTGATCGAGTTCTCGTAGCTGCTGCTCAAAATACGGATCGAATGCATACTGTGCTGTTCTGGCGCGTGGTTGCTTGAGCTGAGATTTATACAAATCCAAAAATATCGTTTTTATATTATCGAGAAGTTCGTCGATCCAAGTGAGATGGAGAAGGGACTGATAGACTGCCTTTTAAATAAGAGGATACAGGTCAGTTAGCACATGGAAGCTAAATAGGACAAGAGATAGAGTTTAAAGCTTACAACAAATATTAATCCAAAATCCTTTGCTTCTCTCCATTTCAAGGCATATTGTTCCTTATTATATCGTCGTGTGGGAGTGTCTCTCGAGACGGCCTTTTCTTCAATGAAAACATCCTTAATGAGGCTGTTGATAATGTGGGTGCCGACTGGAGCATAAGTTTTAGACCACAAAACAACGCCAGAGGTCGTAATTATTTCGAATGCGTCCAACATGATTATTTATGTTGTTGGTCAGGTTTACCGGAGGCTGTTAAATGTCTTTTATTTACGGAGTTGAGCATGATAGCGAGTCACTTAATCGTAAATCTTAAGTTAAACTTAACTCTGGGTTCAACAAAGAGCTAAGGATGCTTAGTCAGCCCTCCCTTTCTCTCCTCTTCTTCTCTCCATCTGATGAACTGATTGACAAGATGAGATTAAACGAAATAATATGGATTGAATCAATGCAGACTACCCTGATTTGAACTCTCGTTACTATATTAATCCCCGATACCTTCCCCAATTCATCAAGTTGGAGCTAAAGGCCCTCAGGACAATCCATCAAGGTACGGTTGGATAACTAAATATTCTAAACTTAGACCACTGTGCCAAAAGGTCAACCCTAGGAACAAGGTTCTAAGATAGATATTTAACAGCCTCTTTTACTCCCTCTCCTAAAGCTCACCCTCCAGGTTAAATAGAAGGAGATTAGTTGTGTTTGGTTTAGCTTTGATTACTGGCAGGGCAATCTTCTTGAGCAAGTCACAGACACCATCTGTTTTGGTGCCAGCATCAATCGCATAGGCTGCCATCCCAGAGAGCAAGCCTGCAGAGAATGAGCCTCCAGACATCGAAACGTTTTTATCCCCAAATGATTTTGTTTGGATTAGGGCGCCAGGGGCGTTAAGATCAACTATGCATGTCAGAACCATCATAGTTATAAAAACGAAGATCGACTGGTATGGCTTACCTATCGGTCCAAAGCTCGTGAATGAAGTGTGTTCATCCTTATCAGTTGTTGAGGCAACAGCACAAACCCCTTCCGCGGATGCGGGGGATGAGTTTTTTGCATCTCGCTAGAGACTTGATGAGATTTATTTCCATCGCCATTAGGCATCAATTGCTCGGGGCCAAGGGATCAAGACTTACGTTTTCGGCCCCAACGGTGACAGAAACGAATATACCTGCTTTGACCACATTTTCAGTGGCTTTATTGAAGGCTTCCGAGTAGCCACCGCCGATGCTCAGATTGAGAATAGCTTTCCCCAGGATATTTCGCTCTTTCGCGTCCTTTAACACCCACTCAAAGCCCTCAAGAATTCCCGACGTAGCTCCGTTGCCTCGTGCATCAAGAACCTTTACGCTAACTACTGTCGCCTTCTTGGCCACTCCGTAATGGGTTCCCGCCATCACTTCTGTCACAGCAGTGCCGTGACCGTGCCCATCAACATCAGAGGAATCCCCGGAGGTGTTGATCCCATACCTAACTCGTCCCTTCAGTCCAGAATTGGACCCGTCGACGCCAGTGTCAGCAATATATATATTAACATCCTTTCCTGCTCTTTTGTTATAGATGTAAGTATATTCTTTTGGGAGCGTCTTGTGAGAGACACGAGCAAGATGCCACGGTGCTCCTGTTTGAGTCTCTTTACCCGTGACTACTGCGCCGAGTGGTCTCACAACGAGATCATGTTCGATATAAGCGACCTATACATAGTATCGCCAGTCAGCCTAGAAACACATCTGACAATCCCTCTCGGGTTCTAACCAAGTTTCATGAATACTTACATCGGGGCTTTCTGCTATTTTCGTGATCGTATCTTCGCTAAAGGTTCCGCTATACCCTCGTAAACCCCCGATATTCCATGGTTGCCGCAGATCCGCATGAAAATTTGGTCTTTCCGCAGCAATATCCCGCTGGTGGATGTGGGCAGCCCAACCTAAGTGAGTGTCAAACTGCTGCTGCGAAATCTCATCCTTCATTATAATGAGGTAGCTGTTCGGAATGACTTCAACTCCACTAGCCGGTAGAATATTGGCCGCCCTGGCTTCGAGGCACAAAGAGCTGACTGATAGCAGGAGCAGTTTTGGATTGAACTTCATCGTTGCGGCTAATTATACTCCTTTGTATTGATTAACTTGATAGACAGAAAGATTGAGCTTGCTAAACCCAAACCCAACAGATTCTTGCTTCGGAGATGCCATGAACTAATATACCAATGGCCCCGATCGGTTTGAACCTTGTAGGAATCATGATGCCATCTTCACGCAAGTGTTCATCCCGTCTGATCTACGCTGCAATGCAACCCACGGTTCGTATTGATGACTGCGATAGAATATTCGCGCCCCCTCAATATCGGGCGGTTCCGGGGAAGGACCCTGAGTTTATGGGCGACTTGGCTCGGTGAAAGCCTGCACGACCAGGGGATAGGATCGGCCAGGGGCATGGTTTGATCTCGGTGACTCGGAGGGTAGTTACAACTAGCACGAAAGCTACGCCTATACGTTTCCTCTTGCCGTGACGCGACAACCTCTGGTGCCCATCAAAAAGCCCTCTGACCTTTTCCCCTATGTAGTCTTAATACCTTATTAACAGGTATAGTTTTATTATACTATATAAATAAGTAGTGTTAATATAAAAATAATATTATTACTAGAGAATCTATAGTAATTTTACTAACTTAAGAAGTAATTGGCTTATAGAAGTAGATATTTAGATTCCTGAATCTGCTAGTAGATCCCCTAGCCAGCGTTGTATAGATACACGACTATATATTACTATAAGGTAGTTATTATAATATTAATAATGCTTGATTTATTCTATAGTGTGTCTGTTCTAGTTCCTAACCAGCTAATAACAAAATATACTCTTAACCACTGCACCAAAAGGTCAACCTTAGGAACGTAGGTTCTTAAGAAGTATTTCTGACACTAAGTAAGTGCGTGTGCATAGGTAACACGTGGAGGTGCCCAATAGAGGCACACATTCTCAATTTAATATGCAAACTCAGTGACCGTGTAATAATCGGCGGAATATTTTCTAACAGGATTCTCTTGGATATTGCCGAGGCTCTCTTGTAGTTCTGTGATAAAATCGTCATCTGAGTCCTCTGAGTCCTCTGGTTCATTTTCGTGATATCCAGTAGCAGCGCCAGCAAGTGCAAGAACGCGGTGTAGGCGCCATTGTAAACGAAGAAGCTCAATATCTGGCAGAGGATGAGTGATCGGATCATCTGTGGTAAGAGTGATCACATCACCAGATACAATTCGAGCATCTGTTTCACAGTTATACAACCGGATGTTAGGCTCAGAATATGTAGCCTGACGACCGCCATATGCGATACCAGCAGGCATTGTGGGAGGTTCAACAAGATGGTCTTCGCTATCAGGAACAGTCATGGCAGTCATATTGCCGGGGCGTAACCAGCAAAATCGAACCGTAAGACTCTTTTTATCGGCTGCTAGCTCTAGTGGTTCGATAGCAAATAGCTGCCGATCCCAGTACACATGAACATGTGGAGCAAGCGCGATCAGATTCTCCGGGCCTCTGTAGATTTCGTCGCGACATAGTCAGGAGAGATATCGAGCTGAGCTTTTGGCCAGAAATGGCTCAGAAGATTCCAGAACCGATCTATCTGGTTCTTTGTGCGTGTTCCAAGCGAGAAGGGAATAATATGTGATACGCGGAATGGCTCAGTAGCCTTTGTAATGACACAACATTTATCTCGCTGCCGGTACTTCAGAAAATCCGTTAGTATTTAGGTAACTAGTGATTGCAGTTTTCTTTGGGAGTGCGGAGGTTGGCACCAAAAGTCTTTATTCCCTTAATAACCAGGCCCTTATAAGGTACTAAACTAGCCCTAGCATAGGGGGTTAACTTAGGTAGAAAATGAGGACTTAGCGGAAGGTATGACCCTAGCCTTAAACCCCACCTTACGTCTAAGCATACACCTAAGCCTTAGCATGAAGGGCAAAGACTTTTGGGACAAACCTCCATGGAAGACCCACATTCTCTGCGGCCTCTTTGGAGCTTTGCGGGGCATCTAGGTTTCTTCGTTTACTTGGCCGAGTTGATGGCGATGGTGAGCCTGACCCAGTAGCAGCAGCGTTGGTGTGACTGGATCGGATGTTGGGGTCCGTCCCTAGAAAGAAGGCAGATTTATGAATGATCAGATGTATAGATAGTATTCATGTGGAGGAGTAGGGTCACACATATATCAGCTAGATTTGTATCAATAAACAATTGCCTGTATAGTACCCCGCTTTCGAAGGAATCTTTCTCGAACCGCGCTTCCACCCCACGCAACATGTCTAGATCGGAGTTCCATAGGGCACTCCAAAAGATTGGCGGCATTTGACTCCCATCTTCTGGGATGCAACGAAGAATCTTCGTGATAAGCTCCCGTCTTTCCAAGTTGTTAAACTCGGCGTCTGGTCCCATCATGATAATGGTGAGCTTAGGTTTGGAGTGCAGGTACAAAGTTTGGAGCTGAGAGTTTAGTGGACTGGGGTTGTTGCACCATGCATGCAGAGCAGATCAACTTAGTACGGAGTACTCCATACAGTGAATGAATGTGTGATACTTTTAAGTTAATGGTGTGGAGGGAGGGCTGGGCAGTCACGTGAAGTAGCTAGGGCTTAGGGTTCTGACTAATATTCAGAGACAGGAAAAAAGAAAAAAGAAAAAAGAAAAAAGAAAAAGAAAAAGAAAAAGAAAAAGAAAAAGAAAAAGAAAAAGAAAAAGAAAAGTACGACACCGGTGCGATTCGAACGCACGACCCCGAAGGGATTAGCTAGTCTATTTTAGTTCGAGGCTAACGCATTAACCACTCTGCCACAGTGCCTGTATCCACCTAACGAAACCCGACCCGGTGGTTGTTGTTCCTAGTGTCACTAAACAAGAACCCTAACTTCAAGTTCTGAACAGCTGTGCATCATCAAGTTCAACAGCCGACGAAACAACAAACTATTAACTACTAGTTACCTCAGGTGGTTAGCCAGTTCGATACGCCTGACAGGGTTCAAGATAACTCCATATATCCCCTATTATTCCATACCCTTTCGTTACATCTTGCATCTCATCTCGTCCGCGAGCAACCACACCATGCATCGCGGTTCATTTGCACCACCGCCTGCGCATTCGCCGCCCCTTCACCATCCGGTCCCCCAGCATGTCTCTACCGTCCCAATGATGCGCTCACCACCGCCGCCAGCCCCGCAGCAGTCCCAGGGCTCTGGATATAATAGTCAATACCAACCAAGCCCGGGCCAAGGAGGCGGGTCCTTTACGCCTGCTTTTGGCGGCTTCATAGCAGATCCAACGGCACAAATGGGCTTCCAGGTTGGAAAAAGTGCTGTGATGGCAGGACAAGAATACGTAGAGCAAAATGTATGTCCTTTTTCTTTGCCATCACCCTACGTCCGCGTCCAATGCTTCTTCCACTGCTCACATTTTTTAATAAATAGTTCAATCGTTACGTATCAATACGGGCTCTAAAGCACTACTTCAATGTTTCGAATTCCTACGTTTTAAAAAAACTGGCTCTCGTTTTGTTTCCATGGCGACATAAGCCGTGGTACCGCCAACAAGCTCGCATGCCGGCCTCTGCAGGTGTCAACGGCCAGATTACCCAAGCGCAATACACCTCCATGTACCTCCCTCCACGAGATGACGTAAATTCGCCAGACATGTATATTCCAGCAATGGCCCTCGTTACATATATATTGCTCTCGTCCGTCTTAGCTGGCCTTCGAGGGAACTTCCATCCCGAAATACTCCGTTCCAACACTTCCATTGCCTTGGCTGTGGTCATATTTGAAATTGTTTGTTTGAAGATAGCCATGTATATTCTCAACATCAACAACGATTCCCAACTTCTAGACTTGGTGGCATATTCGGGATACAAATTCGTAGGGATTATCGTGACGATGGTTGCATCAGAGATCCTCACTCCCGGGAATGGAACGGGAGGATGGGTGGGATGGACTGTGTTCATCTATACCTTTCTTGCAAATGCGTTCTTCCTCGTGAGTTTAACCCTATCTCATTTTCCCCCTTATCTGGTAACAACACCTACTGATCAATGACAACTCCAAATATCTAGCTTCGCTCGCTAAAATACGTTCTGCTACCCGATTCGTCAAGCGAATCTGCTATGCGTGGTGGTAGTATGCCGACCGTGGCTCGATCCCAACGTAACCAGCGGACCCAATTCCTATTTATCTACTCCTACGTAATCCAGTTTATCTTCATGTGGGTACTGAGTCGCGAGGGTCCCATGCCAACGGCGGCACCATCCGCGAAAGTTGGAGTGCCTGGCACTTCTGCATAAATTGATCAAACTCCCCAGAGAATACGTTGAGACAATATACGACTAAAATAGGTTATTGAACAGTCGGACAGCAAAATAATATAGACAGCGGTTAATGTGACAAATGCACGAAAATTATATCCATGTACTTACTATTTAATCATACCTTTTTTTTTTTTTTTTTTTTTTTTGCAATTTTCTTCCTTGTTTCTATCTCCTCTTCGACAGCTGTGATTTCGGGTAATGGCTTCTGTACACTGTGACCTTCTATCTATTTCCTTTTTTCATATTTCTTTCTCTCTTTCTATCTTTATTTCCCACCTCTTCTTTCTTCTATCTTATATTTACTGCAGATGGCGTACTAAATCCGGCACAAACTCTAATCTTAACAAGGCGTTATGGCAGAGTGGTCTAATGCGTGTGACTAGAAATCACATCCCTTCGGGGGCGGCGGTTCGAATCCGCCTGACGTCGAATTATTCTTTTTCTTTTTGCTCCCTTTTGATCTGTATTTCTTTTTTTTTTTTTTTTTGCGTCGAGCAGGATATCAAACAGGATATTTCACTATGTTGTACATGATGTCAAAGATCGACGTGATCCCTGAACCATTTTTATACCCTCGCGTTGTTTGGTTAACAAACGTCATTCTGACGTCCTCCGGCTCGTAAGGAACTTCCTGCTCAACAATGGAACGATCAAATCAATCAGCCACTCACATCAAATATATTAAGCAGCTATGATGCTCTATGCGGGAATTCCTGGAAATCTAGGGTCGCATAAATCTCAATGTTTTTCCCTTCCGTAGACTCACAGAGGCTGCGATCTCATCTCATCTCCAACACTAATATCCTATACATCCCCAAACAGTGATACTCAATCATGGCTGGAGTAGGAGGCGGCATTCGTAAAGCGAAAGAAGTCATCCAGGGCTTGTCTGGACAGGACAAGAAGTTGGCAGATCTTTCAAAAGATACCGTTGACATTCATTCGGCGGGCTATATCACTACAGATCATGGAACCAAGGTCCAAAACACCGATAACTGGCTGAAAACAGTCGACGAGAACAAAACAGGTCCACATCTCTTGGAAGACCAAGTTGCCCGTGAAAAGGTTCAATCCAACTCAATCTATCTTGATACGACTGAGAACTGACCAGCGTACTGCTAGATTCATCGCTTTGATCATGAGCGTATCCCCGAACGAGTAGTCCATGCCCGTGGTACAGGCGCATTTGGCACCTTCAAACTATATGAGAGTGCTGCCGATGTCACCAGTGCTGGTGTGCTCACTGACATATCACGCACCACGCCCGTGTTTGTCCGTTTTTCGACTGTGCAGGGTAGCAAAGGCAGTGCAGATACTGTTCGAGACGTTCGTGGCTTTGCCGTAAAGTTTTACACTGATGAAGGAATATGGGATCTCGTGGGAAACAATATTCCAGTGTTTTTCATCCAAGAAGCAATTAAATTTCCTGACATTAGTATGATTTTGCGACCATCACCCTTTATTCTCCCATAATATCTTTGCATACCATTTCCATACTGATCAATTGCAGTCCACGCCGTAAAGCCCGAGCCACATAACGAAGTCCCCCAAGGCCAAACAGCTCACAACAATTTCTGGGATTTCATGTACTTGCATTCCGAGGCGACACACATGTTTATGTGGGCTATGTCAGATAGAGCAATTCCCCGCTCATATCGAATGATGCAAGGGTTTGGAGTCAATACCTTTGTTCTTATAAATGCAAAGGGGAAACGTCACTTTGTTAAATTTCATTGGACTCCGGAGCTCGGAGTTCGCTCCCTGGTCTGGGACGAAGCCCTCAAAATAGCCGGACAAGATCCTGATTTTCATCGAAAGGACCTCATGGAAGCAATTGACAACAAGGCATATCCTAAATGGAAATTTGGAATTCAAGTCATCCCAGAAGAAAAGGAGCACGATTTCGAGTTCGACATCCTTGATGCAACCAAAATTTGGCCAGAACACCTTGTTCCTGTTCGATATATAGGTGAAATGGAACTGAACCGCAATGTTGACGAATTCTTCCCTCAAACCGAACAAGTCGCCTTCTGTACCAGTCATGTGGTGCCAGGGATTGATTTTTCGGATGATCCTCTTCTCCAGGGACGAAACTTCTCATATTTCGATACCCAGATTTCACGCCTCGGGGTTAATTGGGAAGAACTTCCCATTAACCGACCTGTTTGTCCGATGATGAATCATAATCGCGACGGGCAGATGCGCCATAGAATCACAAAAGGCACGGTTAATTACTGGCCAAACAGATTCGACGCATGCCCTCCAGCTGTGGATAAGGGAATCGTCTCCTATCCGCAGAAAACAATCGGCATTAAGCAGAGAACTTTAAGCAAAAAGTTCCGAGAGCACATCAACCAGGCACAACTATTTTACAACTCGCTCACAGACCATGAAAGACTTCATATCCAGAAGGCGCTTTGCTTCGAGTTAGATCATTGCGATGACCCAACGGTATACAATCGAGTAGTCGAACGATTAACTGAAATCGATCTGAAGCTAGCCCAAGCTGTTGCCCCAGTTGTTGGAGCCCCAACCCCTACTACAGCTGGCCGTCCAAACAAGGGTGAGAAGACAATCAATTTGAGCCAGCACGAGATTAACCATAAGCACCCGATGACCAATCCTGACAAGCCAACCATCAAATCACGACGAGTTGCAATTATCATTGGAGATGGATACGATCCAATCGCATTCCTGTCTACCAAGGCCTCGATCAAAGCTGCCGGAGGCCTTCCAGTCGTCATTGGAACCAAACGCCAACCTATCATGGCGGCCTACGAGCATCCAGAAGTTGATAAGGGTATCATTCCAGATCATCAGTATGATGGAGCAAGATCTACTCTTTTTGACGCAGTCTTCATTCCAGGAGGCCCACATGTCAAGGACATTGGAAAAATAGGCCAAATTCGATACTGGGTGCTGGAGTCATTTGGCCATCTCAAGCCTATTGGTGCAACTGGTGAGGCCATTAACTTAGTGGCCCAGGTCTTGAAGGAGGATGCGCCATTGGTTACTCTGGCCGATGCCACTTCTGAATCCGCCGTTGAATCGTATGGCGTTGTGACAAGTAGCAAGCTGCATGAACCGGCGAGTTTGACAGAGGGTATTCGGATTTTCAAGGAGGCAAAGGATTTCTTAGGGAAATTCTTGTACCAGATTTCTCAGCATCGAAATTTTGACCGGGAAAGGGATGGGCTGGCTGCCTCCCTGGCTTGGTGAGAAGCAGGATGGATGATACATTTTGAAATTGACATTGAAATTGAAACTGAAAGTGAATTGGAAATTGGAAGTATCAAATTTGTTGTACCCTATCAGCTCAGTTAAAAGCAATATATTTTTCGTATTCTTTATTGGGGATTTTCTCAGCACGGACGGACTTCCAAGTTCAGGGGCTTTTTTTTCTTCTGCCTTGTTCCTGTCCTGATTCTTCAGCTCACAGGGCGCATGAGGCTCTAAATACCGGAGCTTTCTTTCCCCCACGTTTTTTGAGGGGAGAGTGCAGGATGTCTGGTTAAGCGAACCTGTTCACTAGTCGGGTAAGGAATCTGTGTGGGAGGAATGGGAAAGTCGCCGCGCCCCCATCCATATCAACCAAGGCTGTGACACTGCATAAGAACCATGTCATTCGCAAACTTTGGCATGCAGCTCGGCCTTGAGCGGGGTTTTGGGGCTCTTGCAGCAAGAAACCCTTAAAATAAATCAATCTTGCGTCGAAAATACGAGATCGACTTCGAATGAATCTCGGGGTGTGCGGAGTACTATATTTAAATCCTGGGGACAGAATATACCACTGTCGAAGCAAACGTCAGCGCTGATTAAACTGCTTTTGTCTATTTTTTTGGTTCGTATTCTTATACAATATATGTATGAAATCTATATTTAGGGAATTTCGACACGGGAAAGCATGGGATGATTCAATCAGACAGATATCAATATGAGTCCTAATAGTGCTAGTAGTATACACAATAAAAGAACACCATCTCCAACAAAACCGGAATAATACATGATAAACTCCCCCAATCAACATTTAAATGCAACACATTTCTGCACCATGACCCCCTGTAACATAGGAAATAAAACAGTAGAAACTAGTAAAAACCAGTCAAATGATCGTTTGAGTAAATATCATGCGTAGAAAATAATCGTTGGGAACGTTCGACGTAGAGTTAAAATCATCATCTCAGGTGATTGAGACCTCATTGATGAACAAGCAGGAACAAGGAGTGACTTGAGATAAAGGGAAAGAGAACAAATATCGGAACAGCAAATGGAGAATCAACAACTTCAATAAAGAAAAAAGTAGAACACAATAGAGAAAGTATAACTCTTCTAGCCCGTTGCAGGTTAAGTGAAGCCGGCTGAAAAACCAAATATTATGAACTGATATATAGAAAATGACGAAATATATAATCTAGCAGAAATATAGATTCGGTCAAGCCCATCTCCATGTCGGTCTATAAATGAGATCCGAATGAGTTTGGGGAACGGACGACTGTTTGTGGTTCTTCTTTGATGTTAAATACGCATTCACAGCCCATTGTTTGCGCTTTGCGTTTTTAGTCTCCATGAGAAGATGAACTGCAGCCTCGACATCAAGAGATTCTCCTGTATCGGTACACTTGAGAGCCCATTTCGCATCTACTTCATTGAAGCCGAGTTCATGGACCATCTTTTGAATGGCGAGGTCGGCAGGGTCGAGGATTTTATGTTGAATGTCATGATCGGTATGTGGAGGGGTTGGAGGTAGATTTGGATGGCGGCCGCGGGAGATCTTTTCTTCGCTAAATACGCTTGAGTGACGTCGGGTCACCGGGCGGGAAGAGGGCACAGAGGCAGATGAGGATTGAGGAGGAGACGGGGATGTGGATAAAGAAGGTGCTGGTGATGGAATCATAACTGGTGGCATTGGGACTCCTGGGGGTGGTATATATAGTGTGCTAGAGAAATGGTCGTCGTCGGGTTCTTCTATTACGGGGCTGGATTGAAGCGAACTTAAGGATACCGATGGGCGCACGGTAGACCTACTATCTAGTTTGGTGATAACTGCCTCGAAATTCGATATTGGTCGCTCATCGAAGATGGAATGTGGAGAATGGACGGTACGTTCTGAGCCCGAAGCACTTGAATCTCGAGTCTTTCGCTGTTCTCGTTGATTTCGCAACTCAGCAGCAAATTCAGCTTGACGTCTTCGCGAGTCGGCACTGGTTTTACTGGAAATACTTTCTTGGCTACTGCTGTAAGCAGGACTCGAGCTTCGGTCGATGTTAAGCGGTTCAGGTGATCGCGGGGTTGCTCGAGAAGTGGCTCGTTCGTTTTGATTGCGGCATACTCGCGATATGGCATCTCTAAGAAACTGTGGCGTTGAACCGTTTTTGGTCTTTTTGCTTCGGGTCCAATTTGTCCAGCCGAGAGCTTGAGCACGGGCAAAT